GACCCGTGACCAACTGTAAATGATGACAATGGTTACATATATTTAGCAAGGCTAAGCCACGTGCACAATAAAAACTGCACGACTGTGCTCACGAGGTTGTATGTAACTGCTTCAGCTAGAGGATTGAGTGTGGTTAATGAAGATGGGATACCCTTACCAGTGATACCCATAAAGAACTCCTTTGTAAACTCCTCGAAATTGCCTTTGTAGTTAAAGAGCGTTAGCATCTTTATAAAGTGGTACATTGAAATGCATGTGTCCTTTGGATTTCTCATCGTGTATATGATCTGTAGAGAGGCACACGGGATTAAAGCGGTAATTAAAATTCGGAGCTGATCTAAGAATTCGGATGGTCACAGACTAAATATTTCTTCCCTATAGAGGCTATCAGTAATAGAGGCAATGTTGCTGCTAAGTGAGGAAAATCATAGCGAGTACACGGGAGTGTTACTCTAGAGCAACGTAGTACAGTGACTCTTGGCTTACCTTTGGCTTCTTTTCCCCTATCTGGTGAGGCAGTACAGGTAGTGCGAGGTGAGTTTTAATTAGACGTGGCGAGGGCATCTTTCTGATCGTAGGCCTCCGATTAATGTACGGGTACTCAAAGAACGGGAAGCGTGTATCCAGTTCTACGGCGTTGGCCATTTCCGTGTCGGCGTTGTTGCATACGAGCCAGACGATTTCCTGCGTCCACGTGGTACCTGGACATAGTGACGTATTTTACAACGTCAGCATAGGGATTTATGACTGGGAACAGAGAGGCCACGACCACAATTAGATGTGCGGTGCAAATTCCAATCTCAATATTTCACATGGGGCAGCGCTTCGCCACTCACATGGCCCCATACTTATGTAGGCCTATAATAAAAAAATGAGGTGAGGGTCGTTCGGCGTGTTTTCGCTTCAAGGCAATGCTACTCGGTCGACCTTACGTGCTTAAATAGAAGTGGCCCGACCAGAAGTAGGTGTACTCTATATTGTATCTCAATATTTCACTTGGGTGACAGCGTCCTGCCATTCATCTTGTTCTGT